CACCATGCATCGTTAACTCCATATGGGGGGTCTTCCTGGAGTGGGAGGGGGAGGGGGGGAGGAGGAGGAGGAGTAGGAGGAGGAGGAGGAGGAGGAGGAGGAGGAGGAGGAGGAGGAGGAGGAGGAGGAGGAGGAGGAGGAGGAGGAGGAGGAGGAGGAGTGGGAGGGGAGGGGAGGAGTAGGAGGAGGAGGAGGAGGAGGAGGAGGAGGAGGAGGAGGAGGAGGGGAGGGGGAGGAGGAGAAGGAGGAGGAGGAGGAGGAGGAGGAGGAGGAGGAGGAGGAGGAGGAGGAGGAGGAGGAGTGGGAGGGGAGGGGAGGGGAGGGGAGGGGAGGGGAGGGGAGGAGGAAGAGGAGTGGGAGGGGAGGGGAGGGGAGGGGAGGAGTAGGAGTAGGAGGAGAGAGAGAGAGATACAAAAAGGCAGATAGGGAGATGGAGAGATAAGCACGGAGGAGAGAGACAGAATGATAACAGGGTAGAGACGGAGACCTGAGCGAAGGTCACGAGAGACGAGAGAAATTCGCGACGAGAAAATTAAATAATGGAAACGAAGGGTTAAGGATGATGGCGCGTGAGTGAAACTTCTTACGAAGAGAGGAGGGGGAGGAAAAGGAGGAAGAGAGAGCGTAAGAGAAAGAGGAGGAGGAGGAAGAAAGAGAGAGAGGGAGAGAGAGAAAGAAGAGAGAAGGAAGAGATATAACTAAATGTTAAAAGAAATGACTAAATCAGGAAAAGTAAAAGTGAGAAATGTTTTTATTACTAAAATTATGGTTTCAGAACTGACGTATATTTACCAAGCTTCATAATAAGTGTGTGTGTGTGTGTGTGTGTGTGTGTGTGTGTGTGTGTGTGTGTGTGTGTGTGTGTGTGTGTGTGTGTGCGCGCGTGCGCGTGCGTGCGTGCGTGTATGCGTGTATGTGTTTGAGCATACGTACGTATGTGCTTGCGTCCGTACATACTCGCGTATTGTATTCACGTATTTATTCTCTTTACCCCCCCCCCACTTACCCAATCCAGCAGAATCCAACCCTCACCTCGATTCCGCAAGACAATACCTGACCCCCTGTGTCTTTCCTTTTCCTCCTGCAGACGAGAACGAGTGCAAGTACCGCCCCTGCGACGTGTTTGCCTCCTGCACGAACACCCTCGGCTCCTTCTACTGCACCTGCTTCCCAGGCTACGAGGGAGACGGCTTCGCGTGTAACGGTGAGTACGCTGGTTATTCTCACAGGGACTTTTCGCGGTGGGAGAGTTTCTGTGTGTGAGTTTATTTTCACCGTCTGGTTTTGTTTAGGGGATGTTTGTTGTTGTTGTTTGTTTTGTTGTTGTTGTTGTTATAGTTTTTTAGGGGGTATGTTTTATAATGTATCTAATCTTCGTATATTGAATAATGGCTTGGTCGATATTAGATTTCTCCCTGGTTAGCCAAAATATTCATTCATCATCATATATTTTTTAACATGAATTATTTAAAAAAATACTCTTCGTCGCGTAAATAGTCTTATAGCCTAGTAATAGAAAGCGCCAAAGATATATCTCACAAGGTTCAATCATGAGCTGTGTCCGTCTGACCTTTGCTCCTCCCTAAACAAGAAAAGTCAGGGCTGCCAACATCCCCGTAGGCGCCAGTGTTGTAGTATATGGTAAATAAAGACTACCTGTTGCAAATTATTATTTCTTATTAGATGCTTGTATTTATATTTTAACTGCAGGCGGTCAGAATATTTTTCTAACTTGGATCGTAAGTCTATAACAGACTTATTACATATATATTTTTTTATTGCTTTGAGAAAAAATCTGCTGAAGTTTAAAGGTTTTCAGTAAATGGCATTATGAAATTCAGATTCGCAAATTCAGAAATAGATTACGTTCCATGAACTTGATTGAGATAACATTACGTGCCAAAAAATCTAGAGAATTAAGCATTACGAAACCCTCGTAGTACAATCGATTTCTTTTTTTAATCGAATTTCGAATGCGTGGTAGAAATTCTCATAAACAAAAACCAAGCATGTACAGCCACGGTCGGAACTAGTCTCAAGCACGCGAAAAATTGTGTCGATAATTACAGGAACGCGATGTGATGTTATTAATTAAGCAAAGCTATATGCTGATTATAACAACTTGCTTACCACGAGTGCCTCGTTACGAAATCTAGATACTAAAGAACAAATGTTCACACTTTGAAGCAATTCCGTAGCAAAAACGTAACATTTTTTTGCTCAATTGGGAAACGCATGAGTGTTCGAACTTGGCATCAACTTAACCTTGGAGAGAAAGAAAAATAGCTTATCACGATTTCTTTCTTATATCCTACAGCATAACGAAAAAGCGAATTATATCGAATCCCGATATAGCATTCAAAACCAGTTACCCGAAACTAGTATTAAAGCATTCGAGTCACGCGCCACAACCGGAGCCGAAGCCGATGCCGCATCATGGAACGCGACTCCCACAGAAAACGGGAAGAACGATGGCGAAATAATAGACAGTGATCATTAGCAAGAATAGTGGTTAGAGCGAATATACTTTATCTTGTCAGGCCCCCAGCGTAGTACGATCGTTTTAGCCAGTGTTGAAACATGTGCCATTGTTCTGTAGGCTCTTCATCTGCTGTTTTCAAACATCTTGTTTTCGTTCACTTTCTCATTTCTGAATTTCCGTACGGTGGCGCCGTTTCTTATTTTTCGGATCTTCCCTTTTTTCCAAAAATGAATTCACGCTACATTCAACGCAACTTACCGGATTTTCCTCCTAAACAACCTATTTCAGATCGTAATTCCACCATAATGAAATTCACGCACAATCGACCATCACGAATCCTCTTCAGAAGGGATCCAACACTCCCTCAGAGGCGGTTAAAAACGCTGTACCCCAGAAATAACGATGTTCAGTTCAGACTCACAGGGTGGAACACCTGTTAACCCGTTTTCTATACAATGCGAAAAAAGGTAAAGAAAAAAGGAAGAAAAAATGTTTAACAGCCTTTAGACTCGATTACAAAAAAAGGTTTAAACCCTGACGCCATCCCACCCACAGTGTACCATAGACGCATAGTTCGCGTGAGTATATCCGTTCTCAGATTAGAAACAGGGATCATTAAGGAAGATAAAAGAAGAAATGAAAACAAAACAAAACAAAAACACATCTAACAAGGGACGTAGAGAATCAGGGAGTTTACAGTTAATTTTCCACCCTGTGTTTTCGAAAGCTCTTTTACGCTCTCTTTCAAAACGAAGCTCATTTTAAGGGCGTCTTAAGGGTTGTGGCGAAGGGAGGAGAGGGGAGGGGAGGGATTAATCTTGAGCGAATTTAGAAGAAGACAATAGGCGTGAAGGGTGAGAGAAAGAGAGAAAGAGGAGGGAAAGAAATCCTCATCAGGTCCTGTGCGTAACATCACCTCAGACAGGAAGAGAAAACTGCCACGCCTCGATTGGCTGCGTGTAGTACGCCTTCCTCTTTGAGATGTCATTCGCGGGGATTATTCATATATATATATATATATATATATATATATATATATATATATATATATATATATATATATATATATATAACAAGGAACAAAGAGCCGAAGATGGGAATCTGTGTCAACTAAACCTTTAACCTTTTCGAAGATGGAATCGTGAACGACCTTTTGTAAAAACATTTTTCTTTCCTTTTATAAAAGTTATCGAGTGATATATATATATATATATATATATATATATATATATATATATATATATGTATGTATGTATGTATGTATATATATATATATATATATATATATATATATATATATATATATATATATATGTATGTATGTATGTATATATATATATATATATATATATATATATATATATATATATATATATATATATATATATCACCGTATTCTGAATCTAGTGCACGGCGGGAAAATATATTGCTAAAACCAATTTCTTCTCTATTGTGCAAGAGGCACATCTACCTTTCCCCTATTGTGTATATATAACCGAAAGACAACCCAATTCCAGTTCGTTATAAAGCCAGACATAAATATCACAAACCCATCTCTTCTTTGTGTCGCCCCCCCCCCCTCACCCACACACGTATATATGGATATATACATGTGTGTGTGTGCGTGTGTGTGTGTATATATATATATATATATATATATATATATATATATATATATATATATATATATATATATATATATATATATATATATATATATATATACATACATATACATATACAGAACCGGTCTCTTCCCTCTCGTCTCCCCCTCTCCCCACACGAAAAAAAAGAAAAAAAAAACGCGAATTATCTCCGCTTCCTCTCCAAGACTCGCCTTCGCCTTGGCCTCAGAGGCGGTGCCGAGATGCTGCCTCTGTCACGGGATGGCGGCGTTCCCATCCCACGGGGGTCAAGCCCTTACGGTAAAGAAGAGGTTCTTTGCATTCGCTTGAAAAGGAAAGGGGGGAGGGAAAAAAAGGGAGGAAGATGAAGGAGAAGGAGAAAGAGGAGGAGGAAGAAGAAGAAGAGGAGGGCTAAGTGGTGTGAATTTGCGTGCCGTTCTGGGAAAATACATTTGTCGGGGAGGTAATTTTTCTACGCTTGAAAAAAAGGTAGAGAGGAAAAGAAAGATAGAGAAAGAGAAAGAGAAAAGTAACATTGTACAAGCTGATATAATGGTCGTCTCAAAATAACTGAACAAATTAGTTAAAAAAAAAAGAATATCGAAAAAATAAATGGTAAAAGGACATAGTATATATATACATATATATATATATATATATATATATATATATATATATATATATATATATATATATATATATCGATAACAAACCATTTATAATTCAAACATCGATTAATCGCTAAAACCTATATTTCGACTTGGATTATAGTGCCATGTTATAACTTTTCTTTCAAATAACCTTCAACTAAACAAATATAGCTCTAAATGGCATATAACGGTTATGTTATATATACAGAGGGATATGATTGTAGTGTGTGAAGACTCAGGGCGTGAGAAATTTTCCCAAAGGCGATGCGTGATTTATATGAATTGATATTTACACTTGCCCTTTTTAATGGTATAAGGAAATGCTTTCTGCGTGAGGAGTTTTATAACACATTGCTTTTGATAATATTTTCATTATTATTATCACCATGCTCATTAAAATTATTATTACTATTGTTATTATTATCATATATTATTATTATAAATGATAAATCAATCAGTCAAGTAGAATATGTAAATCATACTATGACTGCTTTATCACGATTATCAAATTGACCAAGTTTACTCTTTGTAAAGTATTTTATTATCCAATAGTACCGAAATGGAAGCGATAGACAGGTCATTAACAAATGATATATACACGGCATTACGTAAGCACAAACGAGCGTATTACTGAATTGTTTTATTATTTTATGATCAATGTTCCAATTGACACAGATGGTAAGGAGAATTTCGGCTGTAATAACGACATCACGGATTTTTCTTTCTTTCTTTTATAACCACAATAAAAGAGAGTTATTTGTTATTGCTGTCTGATACATCTTCGAAAGTGATGGCGACTTTCTGTTTCATTTTGGATTTATTAGCTTCTTGAGAAATGGAGAGCGAGAGAGATAATAATTGTTCAGTGGTGTTTATATAGAAAGAGGAATTGAAAGATCTTGTGTATTGTTTTAATGCATGACTGACTTCCGTTAGGTTTCATAGTCATGCAAAATATTCATCATTAAAAGTAAACTTACATGTTTTTTAGATACTTTTGCTTTCCATTTCGCTTCATCTTTTTGGCATCGTTATTTTTATATATCTCTTTCTTCGCCTCAACCTCTCGACCCCATGACTTAACCTCACAGAACACGCCCCCAACCCGCCCACACACGACCCCCCTCCCCCATTCCTTTACCCCCCCCTCCCCCTTCCTCCTCCTCACTTCAGCCACCCCGTTGACCTCTGGAACGCTACACCCCCCATGCCCCCTCCCCCCCTCTCTCTCTCCCCCCACTGCCCCTTCACCCCACCCCCCCGTGCCACCCTCCTCCCCCTCCCCCCCTGCACCGTTGTAACCCTCTACCCCCGCCGCGACGCCGCCACAACCTGCCCTGGGGCTTCGTGCAGGCCAATCACTGCCTCTCGCTCTCACACTACTCTCGCTCTCTGCCTCTTTATCTCTCTCGCTCTCGCTCTCTTTATCCCTCTCGCTTTTGCTCTCTTTATCCCTCTCTCGCTCTCGCTTTCTTTATCTCTCTCGCTTTTGCTCTCTTTATCCCTCTCTCGCCCTTGCTCTCTCTGTCTCTCTTACTCTTACTCTCTCTCTCTCTCTCTCTCTCTCTCTCTCTCTCTCTCTCTCTCTCTCTCTCTCTCTCTTCTCTCTCTCTCTCTCTCTCTCTCTCTCTCTCTCTCTCTTTCTCTCTCTTTCTCTCTCTTTCTCTCTCTCTCTCTCTCTTCCATTATCTCTTTCTCTCTCTCTCTCCTTTCCTCCTTACACTATCTACTGTTTACTCGCTGCTTCTCTCCCCGAAATTGGATGGTTAATTGGCGTCGAAGTGAGGAATTCCGCGGTTTGTCTCCTCCTTCACTTATCCTTCTTTCTTATCTCGGTGAAGGGGGGAGGAGGGGCGGGGGGGAAGGGGTGGGGGCAATCCGAAGGAGGTACTGGTCAAGAGGCGCTTGTGACCCCGGCCGTTGACATCAATGTTTTTGTTTTGTATTTTTAAAAAAATTATGTATGCGTTCTTTTCATTAGCGTTTTTTTTTTTATAATTTACTTACGTCATTTTATGGTCAACCGGGCATTGTGTGGCCAGTGGGCATGGGGTAAGGGGGCGTTTCGAACCGGACCGCAGGAGTGTGTAAAAGGAGTTAATATGGAGGGAACCATAACACCATCCGGGACAAAGGGAAGGACTAAGACCGTGGCTTCTTCAAAATAGGAGGAAAAAAAAAGAAAAAAAAAAGAGAGAAGAAAATAAAATATGGGCATAAAAAAGAAGCATCTACCCCCGCCTCCCTATTAGGTAAAAAAAAAACCGCACTTGATTTTTAGGTAAACACGAATACCTTACAGAAAAGGACTGGCAACTTCCCCCAAGATGGCGACCGGGTTTCGCATTTCCCGGAACAGAAAGTGATCGCCGCTGCCACTTCAAAGCAAGAATGTCCAGCTCAGTAAACCCGTAGATGACGTAACGCAGCCTGTAAGTGAGAGCGCAGCCTGGCGGGTTCACCTCAAACACCTGACGTTACGGCTGTCACACAAGGACGCCGTCACGAGAGGATGAATAGGACATTTAGGCGCAATTCGACCGTCTTTTGGCTGCGTTTTAGCGTCCTGGAGAAAAAAAAAGCGCCCTGTGTTTGCCTAGGACGCTTTCCTTCCGTGTGTTTCTGCTCATTAATGATATAAAAAAAACCCTCAAAGGTAAAGAACGGCAGAAAGTCATGTTTGGACTCGAATCTTCAAATGTTTAGTATTCAACAGGCTTCGCGCATTACGGATATCGTAGTT